TTTGGACAGTCTCCTGATTTAAGACGTCACTTATTTAATTTTAGATTTAATTTTCCGAGGGCCAAACTTTTTTCGAATTTAAATTTTGCATAGAATAATATTAAGGAGTTAAGAGTTTCACCGATGTTAAGTGAGCTATATCTGAATTGGAAATATGTTGCCTGAAAGGTAAGGGTAAGCTCTAATCGTGAGTCTAATTGCATTGTCCTTGCTCATGGGTCAACAACTAGGGGAATAAAGTTTCACTATGCTTCCTTCAGCAATTAATATGATCGGCGGTTTCGAAACTCATAATGTAGGTTTATATTCAGACCGCTGTCAAATGCGTTAGTAGTAATGTAGACCCCTGTTCAGGAAAGGTGTTACTGTTCATGATAATCTTTTACGGCTGCTACCGTAACAGCTCAAGAGTATGTAGGTATGACTTAAGGATTTTGATTCGGGATTCATAGTTATATAGATAGGTTGTTGAATGATTCATGGTTTAGGTCACTAAACGCAGTGGATAGTGAGGTCTTTATTACCAACGTCTTTCGTTACATGCGCCGTAGCATCATGCTGAGCACAAATGACTGCTTGAAGGCACTTATGTCCAACAAGCGACTTGTTCGTATCATTCTTCGCGTTAATTACTTTTCAATAACAGCTTTACTTAATTCTAATGATTTTATCCTCGATGATCGCCTTGAAAGTCGATGATCTGATGCAACTCGTCAAGGGAGTCGTTAAGGGATGACTACTAAGAACTATCCATAATCACCATCGTCGACATGGCACAAAGACTAAGATAATCAAGATGTGTATTACTGTGAAACTTTTAATAATTATAAATAATCATTCTCGTTACGGTATTCGAACAATATCGGGAAATCCATGGTAAAAACGATATAGGCAGCACCTCAAAATTTAGGATGAAGTGCTTTTTTCGCTAAGGCTTTCCCCGTTGCTTTCTAATGAAAATTCAAAGGACGTAATATCAGTGTTAAAGACAGCCTTTTGGTACTCAGAGGATATAGAGCATCAAGGATATCAAGATGGAGAGGCTGCATACTGCACCATCAGACCACCCGACAGCTGAATGGGGATAGACGGCTTGTTTCTATTGAAATGTAGCTGAAATTTCTAGTGATCTTCAGTTTCAAGTCAAGTACGTGTATCAGTTGGTAACACATCAGAGTCGCAGAAGGATAATGGGTTCTTGTCCTGATCGGGTGACTGACCTTTAAGCGTTCGAGGTACTACCATCCGAAAGCACCTGGATGTAGAATATGTATTTCTGCTGTAGAACGGCAGAAAGCAGCACGGCTCTCCTAGCTGATGACAGAGCATCATATTTCGATGAAAGAATAATGCCACCAATTACTCCCAGTTATGCAGATGCAAGGGATTTGATCTCCCAGCAGGAGAGAGGCTTTCCTTTATTTTATTTTCTCACCTTTTTGGCGAACGTAAATGCTGATACAATGAAGGAGAAATCCGTGGTTGCAGCAATTATATATCGTGGAGGCAAAGGCCGATAACGGAATCTAATTAATGCTGTGATTCGTTAAATTCATCAATCCTCCTTATATCGATGGCCTATTACCATAAACAAGGATCAGGGAGATATGTACTTATTTATCCTTCGATGGCCTGGTACATGGATGAACTCCGTGCTTTCCATTTAGGGTTTGTCGATAATCAGAGTGTCCTCAGTAGATAGTCACCGATAGTTTCAATCGATTTTGTTTCTGCCTCACGACCGAATGATCATGAGTTCGAATCCCTAATTGAGCAATTAGTCTTTCTTCCTTGAAAGTAGTCCTTCATAGAAAAAGGAGTACAATGAAACACGAAAGGGACAGAGAACTGCTGACTGTAGTCGTCAGCCGAGGAACATTGGTTTCAATGAATGGGACATTCCTGGCGGATGGCTGCTCCATATAATAGGTGGAATGAAGCGGTTGCAAATCCGGTGAGTGTAATGGAATGGTAAGTTTGTAACCGCTGAAACATTGAGGCATTTTGCAACTAGTCTTCCTTACACTTTTTCGAGATTGGGTGATTTCTAACGCCGTTGTTTTCATGGCGTAAGAGAGGCGTTGACAATTATTTCCATGCCAGAAGCCAGAAGTGCCTTTTTTCAAAGGCAGAATGGATAACAGATGTTTGACAAACGTACTGTGTGGTCTGCCATTTCATTCCCAAGAGAGTGGTACTCGTTTATCAACCTCAAAAAAAGGCGAATAAAGCACTATCGTTACTCTAACCGAAGTCTTTCGCTTCTGAGTTCTATGCTCTAGCGACCAATTAATCTCAGTCTAAAGGAAGGTGTGGGTAAGGTCTTTGTTCAAGGGAATTTGTGGTTACGGGAAAGATGTTCCT